AGGGGTAACTCGTAAGAGAAGAGCCCTATGAGCGAAAATTTCGTCCGTTTTGCTCTATCTTGTACCGTTTCAGCGCTATTGGGCATTTCTTGGCAAAAATACCGTGAAAAAGACAAAATGGTCTATTAAATCGTAAAAAAGGCTTCATGTCACAGAATTGTAAAGGCAGTAATACTTTAACCACACATTGCGGGTCACGCCACACCCTCTTTTGGGCTTAAAGGTCCCTAGAGTATCTAGTATCACTAAAACGTTGATTTTTACATAACAATGTGTCCAAATTCGAACTTTTAATGAAAACCGTTACCGAACAGCACAAGTTTCATGTTCCTAATTTTTGAATAATAAGACCCCGACAAATGGTTCGAGTATGTCAAATTTAGGGCCTGGAAGTCCCTGTTCCCCAATACCCTCTCCTTAACTCGTCTCGGGTGTCAGCGCCGCAGGCCTAGCTATATGTGCGCCAGGCCCTAAATCACGTACTACATCAGGCAAATGCCTTATGATGTGCAAATTAAAAGTCATGTGCTTAAGACCATACAATATTTCATACTTACTTAAAAAGTCATCAAGTAAAGTTTGAGACAAATTTAGGTCAGCTTCACTCACACTGTGACTGCATAACAAACTGATGCCCAGAACTAGCTTCTTAAAATTGTTGAAGTACACCTGGCCCATGAATGAAAATAATACAGGTAGGCTGTGGAAAAAAAAAGGACTGATATTTGGAAGCTTTCCAGAAGGCAAGCTTACTAATAGCTTGAGGGACTCTCTGGAAAAAGTGGGGCGGCTTAATTGACAGTAAAACTGCGCTAACTGCTTTCTCTAGATGAAACAAGGAGAATTCTCTTGCTTTTTGTTTTTTGGCAAACCAGAAAGTCAATAGAGCCTTTATTTGACCTGAAAAGGTATTGTGCATAATTGGCTGAGCGATTAGCGAAGCCCATTACTCCACTGACCGAAAAAGTTTCATTCTGTTTGTGGGTTTGTTTGTTTGTTTGTGTGTTTGTCTGTCCGCACGATAACTCGAGAATAGATTGAGATAGCGATCTGGGAATTTAGGGGTCGTTTTGTACCATAAAAAGACAGATCGAGTTCGAAGATGAGCATTCTAGCTCAAAAATTGGCTTTTTAAAAAAATCAAAAACTACAGGTCGCAAAATGAATCTTTATGAACATATTTTTTTATGGGTTCCTAAGGGGTAACTTGTCAAAGTAGAGCCCTTCGGGCGAAAATTTCGTCCGTTTGGCTCTATCTTGTACCGTTTAGGTGCTAGGGGGCATTTCTTGACAAAAATGGAGAGAAAATGATCAAATGGTCGATTAAATCGTTAACAAAAAGACTTCATTTCGAAAAATTGTGTACACACTCCTATTACCCCGTCTCGGGTGTCAGCGCCGCAGGCCTAGCTATATGTGCGCCAGGCGCGTCGCAGCGTAACAGTGTTTCGTGAGATATCGCGAAGCCTGTTACGCGAGACGTGGTCTGGCGTACATATAGCTAGTTGGCCGAGCGATTAG